ACAAGGTCGTGTTTTGATCCCGGGTACCAAAAAAAAAAAAAAAAAAGGCAAAAAATTATGAAGAAGTCAGAGGCAATAATTCATTTCATGTATTGGGCCAAGTAGCTTCCTTTCTCTCATGGGTACAGATTATTGTAGTCTGACTGCTGGCTTGCTATTTGTGCTGCTTTTCTGTGAGGGGCAGAAGGGGATCCATCACTATTACTAGAAAACCACTCATAATACATGTTCTCCTGAGGCCTGTCACCTCATCCCCCAATGGGAGGGTACCCTAGTTTGTGTGTGCTGTTTTATGAAGGTCTAAGCTAGGCCTTTCACAAATTGTTAATTAAAAAATATGTTGTGGTACTTGAATTTTTGAAGTGTGTGTGCACGCATGTGTGTATATTAGGGTGGCATGGGGTAGAAAACCAAAGTGCAGCACATTGGAGTCACATCTCCAGGTCAGCCTCTCTGGTTCTCAGCCCTGATTCTCTTGACACCCTGTTCTGACTGCTTATTCTACATCATTGATTATGTGCTTGGCTGCAGGCCAGAGTTTGTCATATGAGGACATGCTAAAGCCTTAGGAAAACACAGAGATGAAGACAGTATTGCTTTGTTTTTTTTGCTGCTAATTTGGTTATAAGACAAATCACAATCTCACTCTCACTGTGTATAGTTAAAATGTTTTTGTCTTTCAGCATTAGTGATAGTACATCACCAAAGTAATATGAATGGTTTGAGAATTTTTGGGCTGGGGATTTAGCTCAGCGGTTTGGTGGCCTGCCTTGCAAGCGCAAGGACCCGAGTTATGCACGCAAGGACCCGAGTTCAATCACTGGTACCAAAAAAAAAAATTTTTTTTCTTTAAAGCAGGCCTAGTTTACCTAATATGCTAATATGCTTACAATAAGTCATTGGAAAGTTTATGGATAGATACAAAGGTGTTGTTCTTCTGATTTTTTCCCTCGGTTATTGTCTGAAGTGTGTTCAAGTAAGAAAAATCAGGCTTTTTGGAAAGTCAATTTTTTGGCTCTGCAAAAGCAAATGAAATTTTATTTTTTAATTGACAGGATAAAAGAGAGAAAGAATAAAAGACAAGTTGTTTATTGTATTTCTCTGACAATCTTCAAAGCAATTTTTGGTCAAGGCCTAAGTTAACTTTTCATTTTGTTTATGTTGAATAAGAAGCTTTTAATGCAATCAGGAATGAAAAAGGCGAAGTCACAACTGATCCCACAGAAATCCAGAGGATCACTAATACATACTATGAGAACCTGTACTCTAATAAAATGGAAAACACAGAAGAAATGGACAGATTTCTAGATACTTATGAATTACCAAAGTTGAACGAAGAAGATAAAAACATTTTAAACACCCCAATCACAATCAGTGAAATTGAAAATGTAATTAAAAACTTAACAACAAAGAAAAGCCCAGGTCCTGATGGATTCACTGCTGAATTTTAGAAGACATTTAGAGAAGATCTACTGCCATTACTCTTCAGACTTTTCAATGAAATTGAAAGAGAAACAACACTCCTAAATTCATTCCTGGAAGCAGATATCACTTTGATTCCCAAACCTGGGAAAGATGTAACAGAAAAAGAGAACTGCAGGCCAATCTCCTTAATGAATATGGATGCAAAAATCCTCAATAAGATACTAGCAAACAGAATACAGAGGATCATCAAGAAGATCATTCATCCTGACCAAGTCGGATTTATTCCAGGGATGCAAGGATGGTTCAACATATATAAATCGATTAATGTAATACACTATATTAACAAATTCAAGGATAAGAACCACATGATCCTCTCGATAGATGTAGAAAAAGCATTTGACAAAATTCAACACCCGTTCATGATAAAAACTCTGCAAAAAATTGGAATAGATCGTCTCTATCTCAACTTAATATAGGCTATCTATGAAAAACCAACAGCCAACATCATATTAAATGGCCAAAAACTGAAAAGCTTCACATTAAAATCAGGAACAAGACAAGGATGCCCACTATCACCACTCCTCTTCAATATAGTTCTGGAAACATTAGCCATAGCAATTAGACAAGAGAAAGAAATTAAAGCAATAAAGATAGGAAAGGAAGAAGTGAAACTCATTACTTGCTGATGATATGATACTCTACATTGAAGACCCAAAAAACTCCACCAAAAGACTTCTCGACTTAATTGACACTTTTGGCAGAGTAGCTGGATACAAGGTCAACACCCAAAAATCAATAGCTTTCTTGTACACAAATAACAGACTCACTGAGAAAGAAATTAGGGAAACAATTCCTTTCACAATAACACCCCAAAAAATGAAGTATCTGGGAATCAATCTAACAAAAGAAGCAAAAGACCTCTACACTGAAAACTGTAGCACTCTGAGAAAAGAGATCGAGGAGGATTTAAGAAAATGGAAAGATGTCCCTTGCTCCTGGATAGGAAGAATCAACATAGTGAAAATGGCCGTACTACCAAAACTACTATACAGATTCAATGCAATACCAATTGAAATCCCAACACTATACTTCACAGAAGTAATCCAAAAAAGAAAGAAGAATCCAAAAATTCATTTGGACCATAAGAGACCTAGAATAGCAAAAGCCATCCCAGGCAACAGACACATGGCAGCGGGTATAACAATTCCCAATTTGAAACTATACTACAAAGCCACTGTGATAAAAACAGCATGGTACTGGCAAAGAAACAGATCTGAGGATCAGTGGAACAGATTGGAAGACACAAAAACAAATCCAGATGTACTCAGCTACCTTATATTTGACAAAGGAGCTGCCAGTTCCCACTGGAGGAAAAATCGCCTCTTTAATAAATGGTGTTGGAAAAACTGGATCTCAACCTGCAAAAGATTAAAATTAGACCTTTATCTGTCACCATGCACTACATTAAAATCCAAGTGGATTAAAGATCTAAACATAAAAACAAAAACACTAAACTTGCTGGAAGATAAGTTAGGCAGAACTCTGGAAGACATTGGCATAGGAAAAGACTTTATGAACAAATCCTCAGTAGCACAGGAACTAGCAGAAAGAATCAACAACTGGGATTTCATCTTATTAAAAAGCTTCTGCACTGCAAAAGAAACCATCAACAGAACTAAGAGACAATCTACAATGTGGGAAAAACTTTTTATCAGCTGCTCCTCAGACAAAGGACTATTATCTAAAATATATAAAGAACTCAAAACAACCAGCCCCCCCAAATATAAAGACCCAATTCTAAAGTGGGCATCTGAAATGAACAGACATTTCTCAGACAAAGAAATAAAAGCAGCAAGTAAATATACGAAAAAATGTTCCACATCACTGATCATTTGAGAGATGCAGATGAAAACAACAGTGAGATTTCACCTCACCCCACAAAGAATGGCTGCTATCAAGAAATCAATAACAAATGTTCGTGTGGTTGTGGGGAGAAAGGAACCCTTCTCTGTTGTTGGTGGGAGTGCAGACTGCTGCAACCACTATGGAAGTCAATATGGAGATACCTCAAAGAACTAGGATTAGAGGTTCCATTTGACCCAGCCATCCCTCTGTTGGGTATCTTTCCAAAAGAAGTGAAAGAATCATTCCACAGTGATATATGCGCACCCATGTTTATAGCAGCACAGTTTGTAATAGATAAAACTTGGAAACAGCCCATCTGCCCATCAATTGGAAACTGGATAAAGAAGATGTGGTTTTCTATAAAATGGAATACTACTCAGCCATAAAGAATGAGAAAGTAGATTCATTCATAATTAAATGGGTACATTTTGAGGATATACTCCTAAGTGAAATAAATTTGTCACACATGTATAAATACCGAATAGTTTCTCTGGTGTGAAAAACTAAAATAGTACTCAAGGTCTTAGTGGGACAGTTAGCAAGTAGGAAGAAAAGGACCAAAGGTGTAGGGACAGTGAGAAGGATAGGGAAAGGGGAATAAGGAAAAAGGAAAAAAATATGAGAAAATGTAAAAATGGAATTAAAGTGTTTGAAGGGGGGAGGGGAGGGTGAAGGGAGGGTGGGGACAAGGGGCAAAAAATGAGAAGCAAGACCTGGCATGTAAAGGTACAAGATCCCAGTAATGAATGTAACTGTACTATCTGTCTAGAATGTACCAATAAATTAAATTTTAAAAAAAGAGAAGCTTTTAAAGTCTAATGTCCCAAGTTGTAGAAAACTTTGCCATTGTTTGCCCCACATATACTTTATAGAATGTTGCCAACTCTTAAATACCATTTACTAGATGTGACAATTGTGGCTCGTTTCCGCTTTCTGGGAACAGGCTCTTGGTATGAGGAGATGATCAACAGTCGGAACAAGTCAGTGGTCCGCAGCATGAGCTGGAACGCCGACGGCCAGAAGATCTGCATCGTGTACGAGGACGGGGCTGTGATCGTGGGGTCTGTGGACGGTAATGCACTCACCCGAGCAGCAAGATCAGCGCTCGGCTGACCTTTCCCTTAGAGATTTAGGTCGTCACACTTCAGCGTCCCGACTGAAAAAGACAGCAAGGAAAAACAGTTGACTTGTAATCTGATGATTCTGAGAACCACCGTAAAATTATCTTTTGATTTCCTACAGTAGCACTGAAAAAAGTACATTATTTTCACAGCATTATTTTAAATATTGTTCATTATATAATTTATCTTTATATTGGTTAGATTATATAAAGCTTGGGAGGTCAGTGAAGGCTTTTAAGAATGGGAAACATGTGACTGGATTCGTTTTTCAGGAACGTCTTTGAGACAATAACAGGAAGAATGGAGAAGGGAGAGATGGTGGGGGTAGCAGTCAGGAAAGTGCTCTGCTTGTCCAGGTGAGGGGAGGTGGTGGACACTACCCTGAATCAGGGTAATCCAGGGAGCTGGAAGTAAGTGGGTCAGAGATACTCAGGAGGTGACCTAGACGGGAGATCATTCTTGATCCAGTCCGGGATAGGAGAACGCGGTGATTTAGGACTGTATAATTTCAGCTCTGGCAGCTGGATGGCGGGGATGCCTTTCATTGCAGTAGTAGGGACTTTGGAGAAAGAGTGGCTTTGGTAGAGTTTCCATTTTGGACGTGCTGATTTTGTCACCATGAGCCATCCAGGTAAATATATCCAGACTGTAGTTAGCTCTGTGTCAGCAGCTTAGAGACGTCCAGGCTAAAGGCATAACTGGGTCTCACCAGCATATGCATGGTAATTTAAACATTGGAATAAATGTTAATACATTCATAAATAATTTAAACATCGGAATAAATGAGGAGACCTAAGGGCACTTTGTGAAGTTAAGAGCCAGCAACATTTAAGAGATGGGCAGAAAATTCTAAAGGATACTGAATAGTAGTGTTGGATAGAGGAATGCACAACCCAGTGGAAGATGACAGTCGAGAAGGAGGGGTGGTAAAAAACAAGGTAGTAACGATAGGAAAGAGCAACAGGCAGTTGCTGAGCTCCCTGCAGGCGGATTCGGTGGAGTCGGTCGAGGGAGTGGGACTGCGAATGCAAACTCCAGGAGACTGGTGGGGAAGGAATGATGGAAACAGGATGGAATCTGAGGGCCACCGACGCAGGATTGAGGGAGACGTTTCTTGTTTTGTTTCGACGTGAGGTGGTGATTGAGATTTCAGTGTTTGTATGAAAGGGCCTGCAGGGAAGAATTCGATGAGAAAATCAGAATAATTAATAGAGGGAGACCTTGGCAAATAGGAAGGAGTTAGACAATAGGGTAGGTGGAGGAGAGTTTGCATTGGGAGTGTGTTCGAGGAAGTACCGCTTTGAATTAGAGAGCAAAGCCCAGAGGGTTTGCGTGGATCGGTTGTGGGGTACTCTGCACGTTTGAAGATGGGAAGGAGAAATTTCTTTTTAGGGAGTTCATTTTCTTTCAGAACGGAAGGTGGGCTTATCTGTTAATTGGGAGAGAGGGGAGAAAATTTGAAACAGCTGTTAGTGTGTTTCTACAGGTATTTAGTATATATAAATACTCAATGGATAGTCATTAAATAAATTGAAAAGCCAGGCATGGTGGTGCATACTTGTAATCCCAGCAGTCCTGAGGCTGAGGCTGGAGGATTGCTGTGAGTTCTAAGCCAGCCTTGCCTACATAGTGTAAGGAAGCCTGAACTACATAACGAGACCCTGCCTGAAAAAACAAAAAGCTAAGTAAATTGACCACATGAGTGCCGTGAAGAGTGTGAGAGCTCTTTAGGGAAAAAAGATTCTGAAAGCAACCGTAGGATCACGATATGGACGGTCAGTAACTACGCTGTCGTTGTTTCAGGGAATCGTATCTGGGGTAAAGAACTGAAGGGCATACAGCTGTGCCACGTAGCATGGTCCGCAGATAGCAAAGTCTTACTGTTTGGAATGGCAAATGGAGAAATACACATTTACGATAATCAAGGAAACTTTATTGTAAGTGTATATCTTCATTATTTCTATTTATATCTTTATAAGATCATTTTATGTATAATTCATATGTACACATTTACAGAGGTTTGTGTAATCTTTTTTTTCAGTCATCAAAAATTACTATTTTTTAACTTAAAAACATCTTGTTTTCTTTAAGGCAAGTTACTGTGACATTAAGGTTGTAACTTTTAGTTCTGATTTTCTGGTAGTTGTTTAGGACAAGGTATCAGTGTTATTTTTATTTTTATTTTTTTTTTGTTTTTTGTTTTTTGAGACAGGGTCTCACTGTGTAGTTTAGACTGACCTGGAACTCACTATGTAGCTCAGGCTGGTCTCGAACTCACAGCGATCCTCCTGCCTCAGCCTCCCCAGTGCTGGGATCACAGATGTGTGCCACCGTGCCCGGCCAGGTGTCAGTGTTTTGAGGACAGTGGCAAGGGCTACATCAGTGTGAGCTTTGATGTCCTCTCATGCTTGGAGCCAAAGGTAGACACCAAGCGTATTTTTGGAGGAAATAAGAGTTGTTGAAGCCAGAGTGGGAGATAAACTGTAAGGAAGAAAAAGCTAATTCTGGAAAGAAGCTAAAAAAGAGTAGGGAGGCTCAGGTGGCACGATCCAGAGAACAGTTTTGGCTCTGCAAGATTTAGAGATGGCAGTTGTGGTCTTAGCGACTCGCTGGTGGAAATAAAGTCACTTTTCCTTGACACTTTTCTGTTTTCAAAGTACTTTTTTAAAAAAAATTTCTTTCTTTTTTTTTTTTTTTTTGGTACCAGGGATTGAACTCCGGTCCTTGCACTTGTGAGACAGGCAGTGGAACCACTGAGCTAAATCCCTGGCTCTTTGTTTTCAAAGTACTTTTCATATACTTCTTGTTGTTTGAGTCTCATTAAAACTCTAAATATTTTTATTGCTTTGTTCATGAGGAAGATGGAGCATTAGTCGTTTGTCTGGAGTTGGTAAACCGCTGAGTGGTCGGTCTTGCCTTTGCAGTGCGACTCTTAGATCCTGTGTTCAGTGTTCTTCCTGCAGTGCTGCATTCGTGCCCCTCTGTTTTGATGTAAGCGTTAAGCCCGGTCACTGTTGTCTAGATGAAGATGAGGCTGAGCTGCTTGGTGAACGTCACCGGAGCAATCAGCATTGCTGGGATTCACTGGTACCACGGCACGGAGGGCTACGTGGAGCCGGATTGCCCCTGCCTTGCCATTTGCTTTGACAATGGGAGATGCCAAATCATGAGACACGAGAATGACCAAAGTAAGTGACCTGTTTTTCTTAGCATTGGAGAATTTACAAAGTAGCTTGAAAATTGTTCTCACAGTCACAGAGCCCTCTAGGCTGAGCGTTTCATCGTCTCATGTTTTCGGTTCTGGTTAGACCCCGTTCTGATAGATACGGGCATGTACGTGGTCAGTGTCCAGTGGAACCACATTGGCAGTGTGCTGGCTGTGGCTGGCTCCCAGAAAGTGGCCACGCAGGACAAAGATGTCAACACCGTGCAGTTCTACACCCCGTTTGGTGAGGTAAATGCTTTAAAATTTTATCTTCCTTTCATTTGAAGGTGTACTGGTGAGGTGGGGCAAAAAGAACAGAGGAAAAAGGTACACATTTGTCCCGTTTTCTCTGAGGAACATTTTGAGTAAGTCTTGAGACACCAAGGCATGTCTGAGTAATGTCTTCATACTGTAAGCCTTCGTTGTATTTTATCAAAGAAGTTTTTATAGTATGTCCATTTAGAAAACTGGAAGGTGGACGTGAGAAAAACTGTGGCGTGATTCTTCAGTGTACTTTTTCTGTGATCCAAACATCTCTTTTACAGCTGGAGTTTGCATGGGTTTTAATTGTAGTGCATTTGTTACAGGTTCATTTTTCTGACTTTTAATGTGGTACTTCAAGTGTGCTTAGATAGTAAACATGTCTGTCTGTCTGTCCTTCCCCCAAACTCCGGTATTTTAATTTCTTTCTGGTTAATCAGTTATTTTAAGAATACCTGATAATAATCAACCTTAAGTGATACTGCATTAAAATGTAAACATTGTTCCCATAAATGCATATACAGTATTCTTCTAATGGAATTATTTATAAATTTAATTTTAAAGAGAATTTTCTGAAGAAGCACTGGAACATTCAGATAGATTTAACATGTCCTCATATATACGTGAACCTTAAAAGACTTAGAAAACAAGAGCTTATTAATAGCTAAACTTAATATATTTTTATAAATCTTACTTCTCAGTCCTAAACTATGCTTTCTTCCTTTTGGATACTTTATGGCTTTTTCTAAATTCACTGTATACTACAATAATGTGTATTTTTGGTGTGCTGAAAATGTCTATACCAATTGGTTTAGTATTTTAACATTGATATTTTAATTTAACTTTAGTACTTTATATGTTTTGATGCTTTCTGTCCGGGTAAGAAATGGTGTGGTATCCGCTTTTGAACCAGTGTCCCACAGTTACCTGGCAGGTGCGTGTAGAGAGCAGGTGCTCTTCTGGTGGGTGTAAAGCTAAGGAAAAGCAGAGGCATGGCGTTCATGACCCCTCATGACAGAAACCTGAAGCCCTGTGGAACCTTTACTGGTGTCTGTGTCGGCCCTCCCGGTGGGACGTGTGACAGCCCGTGTGCTTGGGGCTGTTCAGCCTTCTCCTCCAGCTTCTCTCTGTCTTCCGCGGGCGCATGGTGTGTGTGCGCGGACCGATCGGCGCGGTGCAGCGCAGCCCCAGCCCCAGGTGCCAGCCAGCTCTGCCGCGGAGTGGATATGTGGGAGATTCGTTTTCGGATCTGCTGTCGGGAAGCCGGGGAAGCTAGCTGGATGGAAGATACCTAACTATGTAAGAAAACCTCGGGAGAGCTGCTTGGAGCCGCCGGGATGCCCTGGGCTTTGCGCTGTGAACTTCGCGAGGTGGAGGGGACAGCGCCGTGTGCGCAGTCAGGTCGACGTGGCTTTGTACGGCATTTCCAGTGTGGCTCGACCGAGGGAAGGTATTTAACGTGAGGCATCGCAGTTCTCTGAGCTAGGGCTGATTCGGCCTGTGCCTGTCTGATTACCGGCGGTGACAGCGCTGAACCTTAGCGCCTTGGTTTGCGCAGCTGGGAGCTGGCCTTTCTCCGAGCGTGGCTCAGTAGCAGGGTTACTCTTACTGGGGCTACCTTGTTAAAATTCGGGGTTTTTTCCTCCTCTGGTTTCCCTGCCCCGAGGAGGCTGAATCCATTTGTCTGACGGGTCACACTGGTGCGGTATAGTACGCAGACTAGGTAATTTGTAGCAGACGTGTGGCCAAGATGTCCCTTTTCACCCGGTGGGGCATTTGGTGAGGGTCTTCTTGCTGCTTTATCGAATGGCACGAGGCGAAAGGGCAAGAAAGGGACACGAGGGGGCCTAATTCACCCTTTTGTGGTGACAGTAATCTTACCTCTTCCAGTTGCCTCCTCCCACTACTACAGCATTGCCTTATTAAACTTGGCTTAGAACTTGTCTGCTTAGGAACAAGGGACACCAGTGCAATGAATAAAATTCATAGGATCCTACTGTTCAGTCTAAAAAGAATTTCAGGTTAAAAACACTTGTCTTCTTCATGGCCACATTAAAAAGTGTGTTCACGAACTCACTCAGTTGTCAAATGTTAGCGTATGAAGAAATTTGTTTGGATGTCCACGGATTGGCTTAAACGTGTCTGCTGAACAGGTAGTCTCTGGTGTGGAGGAGTGAGAGCTCTCAGGGGCTCCGGGTCTGGAGGCAGTGTCATTGGAGTTGTGAAGGGGGCAGGAGCCGAGGGACAGTGAGGGAGGACAGGGGTGTGCGGGGCAGGGAGAGGAGGGCTCAGGCAGCAGGCCCCGGTCAGGGCTGTGGCCAGGGCTCCAGAGCTCCTGGTGGCTGGACAGGGGGCGCTCAGCCAAGAGCAGAGTGTGGGTGCGGTGTCCCATGCTAAAGAATGTGTTGATTGTGGTTAATTCCTGGTTTTAAAGAATTACTAAGCCTTCTTTAAAGCAGGGCAGGTGTGGTCAGCTTCATCTCCATAAAGATGGTTGTGGCAGCAAAGTGGGGACTGCACCTGTGGGTGGAAGGGAGAGGAGGAGAAAAATAGGAAGCTGTCTACTCCGGCTCAGTCTCAAACAAGAGGCGCTGCGGAGAGCAGAGAGCGGCAGAGGCATGGGCTTGGTGACTGGCTGGAGGTGACGATGAACGGGAAAGCGTGGTCAGGGGTGAACTGATATTTTATTGGCTCTAAAAAGTCCAGTTTTTTGCCACTCTAAAATTGGGGTGTATCTTATAATCAAAGTTGTCATACTTGAATTACCGGTGTGTTTTTTTCTTGCTTGTGAATAAAAGATGCATATTTCAGTCTAAGGCATCTTAGATTTCTTTCTTTCTTTTTTTTTTTTTTGGTACTGGGGATTGAACTCAGGACCTTGCACTTTCCAGGCAGGTGGCAGAACCACTGAGCTAAATCCCTGGCCCTAAGGCATCGTAGATCTGATGAACTTTGATACTGAATTTTTTTGGCCTAGCCTGTAAAATTTTCCATTATATGCATGTTCCATTATAAAAAGTCAAGGACAATGATTTTCAAATGGCAATAGCCCTTCACAAGATAGTTGTCATGCCATTTTTGATCTTGATGTAGTGTTTGGTGGTAATTTGCTGACTGTGAGATATATTCTTTTCCAGCATCTGGGTACTCTGAAGGTTCCTGGAAAGCAGATGTCTGCACTCTCTTGGGAAGGAGGGGGACTTAAAATTGCGCTAGCTGTTGATTCCTTCATTTATTTTGCAAATATTCGACCTGATTATAAGGTATGGGAGTAGTTGTAAAGTGTTTTAACTAAATAATTTTGTTATGGCTCGCAGTACTTTCATAGCTGTCTTTGCTTATGAACTAGCAGGAGGCTTTCCCTGAGTGTGTGAAGACCTTAGAACTAGTGTAATAGCAAACATTTCTCAAGTACTCTGTGTTGTTATGTGCATACTCTTCGTGAGTCAGGAGCCAGGAAGAGACGGACGATAACCCTGGAGTAACTGACAGGCTGTTAGAAAAGCCCGGGCTAAGAGCATAGCAGAGGAGATAAAGCAGGCACCCAGGCTTGCATGTGCCAGGCCCCGTCACCAGGCCTGAGCTCAAGGGGAAGGTAAGGAGGAGTGTTCCCGAACCCCTGAGCACCCACCAGGCAGGGAGGGCTGGGGGAGTAAATACTCCCGGTCCTCTCACCCCTTCGTCCTTCCGCATCTTTTCTGTACATCTTCAACTATTTTAATGACCAAGCTTATTTTAGAAAGTCGTTGTGGTATGAAAAGCTAAACACAGCGTAGTACGGGTAGTGAACATAATCATTCTCTCAGCAGTCAGCTCTGATTTATTCCGAGCCACTTGCACACATCCTTGGAGAGCTAGAAGGGGAAGCTCTGAGCATGCAGACCCCACAGCCGCGCATGGCGGTAGCGGAGAGAGGAGTCTGAGAACAGCCGCAGCCAGGAGGTTTGTGCACAGCTTCTCACCAGAGGAAGTTGGTGGGGCATCTACGTGGTTTTCTTTGTTTTAAATAAGCCATGGAGAAAGATTTAACTGTAAAAATATCTGATTCAAAATGAAGAGAGGAAGAGAAAAAAACATTTCTAACTTGGGCTTGGGGGCCCGAACTTAAACTTTGGGCAGCAGTCATTCTACTTATGGTTCTCCTCACGCCCTCCCCGGAGACCTTCCTGCCAGTCCCAGTAACTGCAGCAGCTGCTGAAAACGTTCCCCGCTGAAGCTTAACTCCAAGAATTAAAATAAGAAGTTAATTCTCTTCTTACAGTGCATTCTGTTTTAAAAATATTTTTATTACTACGTTTAGATTTGTTATTTTGGTGATAAAAGATATTAAGCTGTCCTGTCTTGTTTCTGAGTATATTTTGTGAAGTGATAAATCATGTAACTGAAATCTTTCTAAAATCAAATGGAACACTATGATTTTTCTTTCCCAAGCTAAGTGTTCTGTCTTCCTTTCTGTCCTTCCCTTTCTCCCCTTCCTCCGCCTGTTCTTCCTAGTGGGGCCATTGCTCAAATACTGTGGTTTATGCGTACACCAGACCCGATCGTCCTGAGTACTGTGTGGTCTTTTGGGATACAAAAAATAACGAGAAGTATGTTAAATATGTGAAGAGTCTCATTTCGGTCACCACCTGTGGTGATTTCTGCATTTTGGCTACGAAAGCTGACGAAAGCCATCCTCAGGTAGGCATTCTTTAGGGTGCTGACACTCTGGGTCAACAGCGGGGGACTGGGCTGGAGTCGCCTGCTGTGCGGAGCACGGCCTGTGCCCTGGAGGCCAGTGGGGTGTCAGGCGTCATGGCCCGGTGTGTCTGGGACCCAGACTGAGGGTGCTGTGACTTGACTGGGTCTGTGTCCCCAGCCCCCTCTCTTGTCCTCAGACAGCCAGTTTGTTGGCAGGTTATGTGACTGGGTTAGTACTGAGGTTTTTGTCTCTGAAATATGTATAAAACACCATAGTCTTTTTCCAAGTTCAAACTCCTGAAGCAAAAAATAAATATCCAGATGTCTAATGTAAATGCTAAAGAAATTGTGTAACAATGACCATTTATAACTGGATAGATTTTTTTTTTTAAATTGAGACAGGGTCTCACCATGTGGTTGAGACTGACCTGGAACTCACTGTGTAGCCCAGGCTGGTCTCGAACTCACAGTGATCCTCCTGCCTCAGCCTCCTGAGTGCTGGGATTACAGGCATGCGCCACCACGCCTGGCCAACTGGATAGGTTTTGACACTGAGAGATCTGCTTTTATTTGGAATTATGTTGAGCTAAAAGTCAATATCATAGCATAAAATAGGTAATATAAAAAGATCTAAAATTACACTAACAATTTAAGTATTTGTAAAAATACATAGATATTTCAAACAGAATTATCAGTGTCTTTGGCTGGGTTATCATTTTTTATCCCACTTAAAAGCAGTGTTTTGGGTTAAAGGTGACAATTTAAACAGCCACCTGTGGCCTCGTTTTCTCCTGAAATTCACTGAAGCATCGGTGCAAGTATTTTTTGAGAAGTCACAAGCCCATGGGGACCAGAAGGGCAGAGCTGACGCATTCGTGATAATCACCTCAGCAGACCTGAGAAACCTTAGCTATCGTGGAGAGAGCAGAGGCAGCAGGGTGCCGAAGAGCGCAGACCAGCCGTCGTGGAGGGACTGAGGTGGTGTGGGAAGAGAACCCTGGAAGGAGAGGGTGTGTGAAGGTGCAGCTTCGCAGATTCTCCTCCAGACAGAGCCTTGGCAGCCCTCTCACACCTGTGACGGCTGGGTTTAGTTTCTGGGGAGGCCAAAGGGAATCTCTGCACCGAAAGGCGCGAACCTAGCTGAGGTTGGGAGAACTCTGGCTGCAGAGTTCTCTACCCAGGGTCGCCCCAGTCTTCTTTCCCCAGTGCGTTCCCAGAGCAGCGGCAGTGAAGCCAGTCGACTGGAAGAGTCGGCCCTGGAAGTCTGAGCGGCTCCCGAGAAAGACCTTACAGATGCTGAGACTGGATCCCAGCAGAGGCTGGATCGCCTCACAGTACAGGCCGTCCATGGACAGCGTCCGAGTGTCCTGCGCTTAAGTGCAGCAGGCATTGGAGGGAAGCTTCTCGTGTGGCACATCGACACCCAACTCTCACACGAGGAAAAAGGGACTCGGAGGAAGCAGAGGCCGGGCAGGAAGCAGAACGCCTCCGGAGCTCCCACATCTCCAGGAACATCATCATTGTCCTCAGAGAGGCACAGGTCCCCACCCCTTAAATAAGAGGACCACAGTGAAAACCTTAGCAGGATTTTCAAAAATAAAATGAAGGGTAGGTAGGGAGATGAGAAAATGTAAAAGAGCAAAAAATAAGAAAATTAAAGGACTAGTCCTGGAGGTTCAGCATTTGAATAATAGTTCTGTAAAGAGTAGAGAGACAAAATGGAAGTAAATCTGAAAAAACATCCAAGAAAATTTAAGATTGTGGATTGGAAGTGTCTGTTTCCCTGAGTAAAAACATTTCTGTATCAGGATTCGGAGCACTGGGGATTAGAAACATCCTATTAGCTTTCAGAGAGGAAGAATAGACTGAAGACAAGGAACCGTAATGGCAACCCTCTTGTCAGTAGCAATACCTTGGAGAATTAAATGCTTTTAGAATTCTGAGGAGAAATGATTTGGTGGTGGTGGTGGATTGAACCCTGGGCCACTGAGCTGTATCTTCAGCATTTAAAAAAAATTAATTACCAAATAAATATGAAGTTAGAATATAGATTCTTTTAGATGTACAAGATCACCAAAAAATTACCTTCCAGGGTTCCCTGTCTTAGAGAGTTACTTCAGGACGAAGTACATGAAAGTGAGGAAAGAAAGAGGCACAGATGGGAGCTCTCACCCCATGGGAGAGTGGTATTGCCTTTCTGCTGTGCGCATGCCCAGGAGTCTGAGGAGAGGAGGACAGGAGGCTCCGGAAGTTCGAGGATGCCGTTACTAAAATACCTGCTGTGTTGGAACCCTTGAGAGAAGAGACAGACACATGGGGGATAATTGGGAATTTGAGTTGGTAATAAGTACAGGAAACTAAGCAGAGGGAAAAACAGACAGCTACCAACTATTACAGTTGCCAGTTACAACAGGGAAAGCAAAATACACTTGAAAGGAAAATAAATTATGATATATTTGGTGGCTTAGTTGTGAGTAGCATGTACAGAATCTAAAGGATATCAGTGCTGAGGCTTTTAAAATGGAGTTTCTTTTAATTGAAATATAATAAACATTCAATCCTGATCTGACAAAATTGTGTTAGAAGTGGAAAGAGAGAGGGATGAAGTGTGCTCTTTTGTGGCAGGAGGATGGGAAAGGGAGTGGACAAAACGTTAAACATTGGTCTTTCTCAGCGGGAAGGCAAAGATAATACACCAGATTGAAACACAGCAAATGGAGAGAAGCACTGTAAATGTGTACTGAGATTCGTGGAAGGAAATAGCAAGGGCTATGTTAGAGGATGTAGGAAATGGGACATTAGTTAGGGAGATGGCAGTTTTAGTAAGAGGAGTCCTGTGGAACTGTTTGAGTCTTGAAACTATAAACATGAATGAGTAATAGAAATAAGTAGCTTACAACTATTTGTGGCATTTTTGTGGCAGTATATAAGCTTATTTTAAGTAGTGGAAGGATACATTGTATCTAGTATATATTTATATTTATCATTTAGTTTATGAAATTAAACAGATGCTGAAAAAAAATCTATGAAAATGGCACATAGAATATTGCTTTAAAAGTGATATTCAGGGGTCAAATCCTTAAGTAGGGTAGTAGTATTAGTGTGAGGTACAGAAAACTGCACAAGCGTACGAAAATGGTCACTTCAGAGCAATATGATGTAAAGTAGGCATTGTGCTTGGTCATTTTCCTAATTCAGTATTAATTACTGATAATTGTGTATATATGTTATTTTTACTATATTGAATCATATCCTTTCTAATTAACTAAATTTTTCTGAATTTCTCATGTCATTTATATATTGCTTCAAAGGAGGAGAATGAGATGCAGACCTTTGGTGCAACGGTAACACATTGTAGCTCTTCTATAGCTGGTTGTAGGTGCAAGTGAGTTTGATGTTATGTTTGGTCAGGAGCTTTGGAAATGTAAATGCTGGGGAGTAGCCAGGGCACTGGCATTTCTTAATTGTCCTTTTTGGAATCATAGTGTTCCATTGGATTGAGAAATCTTCCTTGGTTGAATTTTAAATTATGTTTTTAAAAATGGTTAAATAGATTATTTTTCTTTTTCTTTTTGTCTGCTATTCTTTGCATGTAATTTTTTTTTATTTTTTTGGTACTGGGGATCGAACTCAGAACCTTGTGCTTGGGAGTCAGGCAGCAGAACCACTGAGCTAAATCTCTGGCCCCGTATCTACATTTTTGATAAATTATTTGCCAGTTAGTGATATTTGAAAAAAATTAAGCAAATTATATATTAAGCATATTTCCTTCATTATTCATAAGTAAGAATTCTGATGTCCTTTTTGTGTTATTTGTCCACAGTTTGTGCTAGTTCTTTGTAACTCGATCGGCACACCCTTGGATCCCAAGTACATCGATATTGGTAAGGAAATGCTAATATTTATCTCCTACCCAGTCAGGTTTCATTTGCACACTAATTAAAAACACCTAATAATAGTGTCAGACTGCTCTCTCTAAGTTAAGGTTGGCTGTGTTTCCTGGTTGTCAGGTCTAGTGCCAGTTTATATCTGTTCTCATGGTATAATAATAAGGCAAGCAGTGGCACCGCTGAAATAAATCCTCCGCCACAGTAGAATTAGTAATGCACTGTTTCACCCTCCAGAGTACCCTTGGTTAAGACAGTAGATTAGAAGGCTGAGGTATCTGAAATCCGTAATAAATTCATAACTGTCATTGCCATCATTTGCTTTGAATGGGAAATGCAGTTGTGTGGGCATTGGTATGTGATGTAATGATTAGTAGATAATAAACTGAGGATTATAGAAAGAATTTTGCTATTAAACTACTTTTGTTATTAATAAACTTCTTGTAAATACCTCTCTTCCATAAAACTACTTTGTAAAAGGGAGTTTAACCTTTCCAGAAGGTTTTGTTTTGTTTCTTTTTTTGTTTTTAGTGAAATTAGTCTATTAATAGGGACAGCTTTAAAAAATTCCTCTTTTCCTTTTCAGAGGAGATGGGTTGGTTTAATTTTACCTTTCCCTCTGTCCAACAGCTATGAAAGTCACCTGTTACAGAAATTCTAAGTCCTATTCTAGGGAGTTTGTTAGAAATCATGAACAAATGTTGTGTTGCCATTTCACTATAACTTCGAAAATTGATGGTTTTCTTTTAAAGTATATGGTACTACGTTGGATATGGTATGATAAAAACTACTTGATCTAAAAAATTAAAAACCCATTGAATTTTCTGATCCTAAGACCAAGTCATTTTTTCTCCGGATTGGACATTTAGTCTTTAATAATGTTAATGTCGCCATCTAAATATTTGCATTTTGCTAAGCTCTCGGGATGACTTAAATAAATATGAGAAATATTTACTGGCTTCAAAGATTTTATACTCCACATTTGGTCTTAGTGTCTTGGTAGCTTGTGCACTTTGATATACTGCCTTATGCTCACTGTCTTGTATCGGTGTCTGTATTTTTATACATACATACATACGTAATTATTGCTCTGCAAAGGCTTAGCTTAACATTATTACAGTCCCTTGTCATAATGAATATTTTCCATTTACTAGAAACTAAGTCTTTAGGGGGTAAATTCTGTCAATTTTTAGATCTTTTTCTATCAATACCAAAAGTTTTAACATAGAATCATGTGATAGGGTTAGTTTTAAACTAATTTTTAATCACAAGTAGACTAGTTTTTAAATAAAGCCTATTGTAAATCCCCCCACTTCATAAAACAGGGAGTACTTGAGGTCATGATTATTTGTGTTTTTGAGTCTCGAAACTTTTCTTGCAGTCTTGCTGGCTGGAAATTTAACAAACAGTTCTTTCATTGACCTACAGCACACACAGCCAAAGACTCAACATTTTGTTTCATACATATCCTGTTTCTTTTTAAAGTTTCTGTGCCAGATTTTCAGGAGGACTAGAGACCGAAACAGCAGTAATGAAAAGCATGTGTGGCTGGCGTGATTCTAGAATGTGTTATTTTTGTTTTGCCATCTGCTCTTCCTCCTGACAGTCTGCACTGAAGCTCTCGAAACAACTTTGCCCGTCAGTAGGGAGTGTGCTGGTGGGTGTCTCCCTCTTGCTGCTCTTCTACGGAGCCCTCTGGACACCTTTAGCATCTTCTGAAGCGCTTCTTCCTGGGGGCAGCAATTACTGGTTTTCTTGTCAGTCTTCCCCTTTTGTCTTTGAGCGTTTAAAAGACCTATGTCTAGTTACCTTCTGTATTCCCATTACCCAGGTCTGTGATTGGCCCAGAATAAACATATATTGAATTTGTTGAAAATACTTACTTTCTCTCCTGTGTAAAATAGAAAATAATAATTTAAGGATGGAAGGGGATGTCGCTCACTCAGTGGTAGAGCCTAGAGCAGTGATGGAAAACCTGTTAGAGATGAGATCCCAAACTGCAACTCCAAACCTACTTATCTATCAGATGTCAACACTGCAGGGAAACCTGAATGCTCAGCTGCTGGGGCGATGCTGGGCCAACGGAGGGCTCTGTGTGCTTGCTGCAGCACGCGTGCCAAAGGTTCGCCACCACTGGCCTAGAGTGTGCAAGGCCTCAGCACTTAAAAAAAAGTGATTATTTGTTTAGCAAACTGTTAACAAGAATGTACTGTGTGAGATAGTATAGGTCACTGGAAGTCAGACAAATGATGACACTTCTACAGAATGTCCAAACAAAGACTCAAGAAGAACTAGTCAGTCAGGTGAGCACTGGCTTAGTGCTGTCCTGCTGCGCGCACCACGATCGTGCTACATAAACAGACGCTGGCTCCCGGGAACCTGTGCTTAGAGAAAGCTGTGTTGGGTGGGTCTGAGCTTTGAGGGCTGGTGTTTCTTCAGGTGGCGGGTTAAGGAGGAAGGCAGTGTCGGCAGAGGAACGAGGCGAGGAGGGGTCAGAAGGGCCAGGTGGCTGTGGTGCAGCACGCTGTGCTCTGTTTTCCATATTGCAGACGACGGTAATTTGATGAGAACGTTTCAGGGCCATTTCAGCTTACCAGCTCTTTTTAAAGGGCTGAGAAATAAGTGAGTATGGAAGAGGGGAACAGTACAGATGCAGGCATTTATTTCAGACCTCAGCATTAAAATATTACAAGCAGGTTTTATTTATGTGTGAATCACTAAATTGTTTTAAATTATTTTACGTCCTGCCTTGTCTAGTAACTAACTACTTATTAGTATTACAGAGTTCAATTATTGAAAGCATAATTATTTACAATTTTTTTCCTAATAATCTTTCTAGATATTTAAAATTCTTTCTAGATACTGAATAGACAAAAGGGGATGAGGTGCTTTTATCCAGGAGATGTTCCTTCCCTAAAAAGTTCTCTTGGGATTTGGTCTGCTTTTTCCAAATTGGTCTTTTGGAATGAATCTTTTACTATAAAGATCTATTAAAATTTATATAGATGAGCCAGGGATTTGGCTCGCAAGTGGTGCCTGCCTCGCAAGTGCAAGGTCCCAAGTTCGATCTCTGGTACCCGCTCCCCCCAAATGCTTAGAATTTGTATGGATGGCCTTATGTAGCCTATGAATTTACTGAAATTACTACTGTATTAATTTAAAAGAACATGTATTTCAGATTTTGGTTTTTGTATTGGCTGGGGAATTTCCATATACATTGTATTACAAGACCTATGTGGATTATAATTAAAAAGTAGCAACAGTAAGAGCAACCAAGCCTTCTGTGTACGATGTTCCAAGTTCTTCATAAGGGGCAGTTTGCTGTCAGATCAGGAGCACTGTCCTGGGCCCAAGGAGCTGAGTCCACTGGGTGCAGTTCTACATCTGTTGATTGGCTCCATTTCTTCATCTGCCAAGCAAAGGAGATGCAGTAATGCCTACCTTACAGGGTGGCTGTAAGCGAGTGTATGTACTGTGCTGTTAGAAGAATACATGGCATGAACTTTGAGAAAAAAATCAGTAAACACTGACTTTTACAGTGTTAGAACTGCCAGGCACAGTGCTGTGCTTTATATTTGTTTTTTTTTAAACCTCAAAATGACTCTGTAAGTGTGGCAGTGTCATTATCTTCAATTTATAAGAAGTAACCAGGCTCAGAGATGTCTTGCTTTTCTCATGGCTGAGACAAAACACCTGACCTCAAGTTAAAGGAGGAGAGGGTTACTTAGCTCACAGTTGGTAGAGGGTTCAGTCCATAGTCACCTGGCTCCAAGGCAGGGAAGCCTGGCAGAGGCCATCACAGAGGAGAAGAAAACAGCTCATGGTGTGGAAAGTGGGAGGCGGGAGGCAGCAAAAGCAGGAGGCAGCGAGCCAGGGCAGCAGCCCGCTTTCTGTGCCCTATGTCCTATCCAGGCTGTACACTCTTAGGGTGGGTAGCATCCACACCCAGGGTGGGCTTTCCCATAACCCACACCCAGAACTGTGCCATACCAGCCAGGGCACCGATTTAGTAACCCCACACCCTTGATCCCAGCATCACCCACTCTAGATCCAGCCACCTCTGAAAAAGTCACCTATGTATGACCTTTAGGCTGTGGGGGGCATCTAGACACCAGACATAACAAGAGAGAACACATCATTTGTCTGATGTTGCAGCTAGCAGGTGCCTGTAATTTTAATCCAGAAGTCTCTTGAGCCACTAATGTTTTAATTTTGAATCAATCAGACCAGTGATAAACTCTTGTGACTATGAAGGTGATATAAAAAAGATAACAGTATAATTTATGACTGTAGTTAAACATTGGTTGGAAAAACGCTTTTATATGTGCTTAAGAAAAACTGTATTTAATTAGAAAGCAATAAATGTTGAAGATTTACTTTATAACCAGCTAAGAGCATGATGGTAACTAATATCAGAATATTCAGCATTTTTTTTGATACTGGGACTCAAACTTAGAATCATTTCTGGTGCCAGGCAGGCAGGCACTGTGCCCCTGAACTTCATCCCCCGCCCTCCCAACATCCGAATATCCATGATGGGACTTCCTAACTGTAGTCAAAGTTTCAGGGTTTTTTTGTAAAGACAAGTTGGGGGAAAGAGTCTGAGCCGGGTGTGAGCGCCCCCTGGAGGCTTGGCCAACATTCCCCTCACCTGGCTCTTGCTCCCCGAGGAAAGGCCTCAGGCTCCCCCTAGGGGTCGTCAGTAGTATACATTTGAGTAGAAACGTGATGATTGTAATGAAAAGTGTGCAACTATGACTCAATTGCAGTGGGTTGTTTAGTATATAAAATGAACGCATTTGGATCCCGGAGTTGTTAACCTGTTCAGCTAACACCACACCATCAGCCTGCTCTGTAGCTCTCTGTTCAGTTTACTGCCTTAAGTGTCCTTTATTTGGACAGTCGCAAGAGCCCACTAAATGGCTGCCCATGTTAGCATCATACTTTTATTCTGGCCATATTGATTATTGCTTTCTATAGTATTTATAAGTAGAAAAATTAAGTTTTACGACATTTTAATAAATTTAGAAAGTGGGGATTAAAAAGACTGGAGGAGTAACTTTGCTTTTATATATTTTTGCATGTGTTTAGCTTTATATTGTGTGTGTTTTGTGACTGTGGGCGAGTTATTTTACTGCTTTTGTCATCGTTTTTAATCCTTAATTGGATTTGATGACACTGTTTCATGAAAGGGTACAGAGTATTCACTCGATGAAATGTCCTTTAAGAAATAGAATAGATGAAAAATTTGCCTAGACTATATTCCTAATCAGGAAGGAACTTGGGAAAATTATTTTTCTAAGGTTACAGTGGAATACAAAACATGAAATGAGGGGAAAGGATAAATCCTGAGTCAGACCATAATTGGCAGTGGCGTGGGGAGGGAGCAAGGTCAGATCTCTTACCATTTGTCAGCTGAGGACCTGGGTTGTTCTGATTTTTGGCTATTAGTAAGTAATACTTTAATGAATGTTTGTATGTGAGCTTTTGTGTGGGTATATGTTTTAATTTCTTTGAGTATATAGGAATGGGCATTAGGAACCAAATTACATTTTGAGGAACTATTAAACTGTTTCTCAAAGTGGACCTTACGTTTCCACCGTTTCTCCACATTCCGGTCCACATTTGTGATTATCTGACTTCTTGACTCTAGCCATCCTACTGTTTGTCAAGTTATACCTCTTACATGGTTTTCATCTCTGATTATTAATGATGTTGACTGTCTTTTCCTTTGGTTAATGGCCTTTAAAAAATTTAATTGGAGAAATGTACTCAGGTTTCTTGCCCACTTGTTAATTGTGATTTTAAAATTTTTTATTAGTATATATTTGTAATACATAGGAACACACTCATCGTGGGGAGAGTGAGTACGTATCATGTCCCATCGCAGTCCTTTTCTCCTGCCTCTCTCCTTTCTCCCTTCTTTCTCTATTGCTAGGTCCCCTTCCCATCTGCATGAAACTCATAGCCACGAAGATGGACGCCTAAGATTTCATTTAAGTATTCCATAGTTTTACCTCCTGCATTTAGGCCTTTTAAACCATTCCGGGTTAATATTTTTATGGTCCTACAAGCTTTGGATTATTTTCTGATTGGAGAGACTGTATATGGGTATTATGAGACTGTAGGTGTTTTGGGACTCTGTAACATGAGGGGTTGGACTCAGTGAATACTGAAGTGCTTTGGAACATATTCCCTGATTCTGCATAACCGTAACTTAATTGTCTTTATGTTCTTTTTAATAGTACCACTATTTGTTACAATGACCAAAACCCATGTCATAGCAGCTTCAAAAGAAGCATTTTATATCTGGCAATATCGTGTGGCCAAGAAGCTCACGGCACTGGAAATCAATCAGATCACACGATCTCGAAAAGAAGGGAGAGAAAGGTATCTTTTCTGATATATCCTCTAACAGCTTAATCATATCACATACGTTCAAATCAAACATAGTTAATTATAAATTATCATGCTTGAGAAATGTAAATTGCTTTGATCAGTAGAAATATTTTTCCATTAATTTGAATATGTTTTAAATCAATCTTTAAATTTCTCAAAATAGAAGGTAATATAGTCTAAGACAAGAAAGCCATCAAAGGCCGGACATATGTATTTTTTGTAAGGAAATGCTGTCCTCATTCCCCTACTCCAGCATATTAGGGTTATTAAGGCACACTGGGATACTGTTACTCAGCTGAGGTCTGAGTATCTGAGTAGAGCTTCCTTCCTGTGGGTTAAGGGTCTTTCCAGGAGGGCGAGGTGATCTGGTTCCAGCTACCAGAGAAGACGCTGGTAGGGAAGAAGCCTTTAGGTGGAGTAAGCTGGGAACTTGGGTCCTTTCTCTGGCCTGGATTCGAGCCTGGTGTTGGAACGACTTCTGGTAAATAGGATTTACGACTGCCACGTGGAAAGGTGAGGGCTGGATGGGAGAGACTCAGGTAGGATGTCTGGCTATGGTGTGTGCACCCTGCTTTGTGAGTTATGTGGTCTTGTTGGTGATAGCCTGTGTTTGTCGTTGTTCGGTGGTTACCCTAAGCCTTCAAGTGAAGCAGTGGTGGGGTGTTGTAGCCTAGTGATTCCAGATGAAGGTGTAGGCCTGATGGTTAGAGTCAGGTCAGAAACCCAGGTTGCCTTTTCACATCGTCTTCCCTTACACATACCGTTCACCACCTGGGACATCTGGGTTGTTTCTGATTTTTGGCTTCATGCACCCTTGTCTTCTCCTCCTTCCTTTTCCTTCTCTGAAGACTCACCCAGATGTGAACTCTTGTTGAAGTGGAAAACAGCTGTTGGCAAAATTATACTCAGTTTTCTCAGTAGTGCTGGAGGACTAATGGGAAAGAGTCTCAGGCCAGTGTGAGGAGAGCTCGTGTGGTCAGGACTTGCTTAGCAGTCCTGAGTGGAGCCCTGCAGTTTTCGGGGAGAAGGTGGGGCAAGTGGGTGTGGCCTCTCTGTTGAGCAAGTGCCCCCTCCAAGGGTTCTGGCTCTCCTTTAAATCAGGATGGTAGCGCTGTGTTAGTGACTTGGAGCAGGTTCTCCCTGCGTCTTCGTGGTCTCATCCATCAAGTGTGGTAGTTGATGCTGTGGACAGCCAGTGCTTACTGACTGTTTCTTGTGTGCCAGGCACCTCGGGAAGTCCTGTCAGCATTCCTGCGCTCCCTGTTTTACACAGAGGAAGCAGAGACACATCAGCCTTCATTGTCTGACAAGGTCTCCAGCTGCTTAGTAGAGATGGGGTGTAAAGCTGGGTTTGCCGGACTCTGACCTCCTTTTTCTCAGTGGCCTTTCTTGTTTTCTGAGAGGGACATGAGAGGGACGTGGCCTCTTATCTAGATGCCCCTGCCCCAGAGTCTCGTGCACTCACCTCACCGAAGGTGACTGGCCTAGGGAGCCTCTGTTTGACTTGCTGTTAGGAGGCGGGGTGACCTGGAAGGGTTATCTCCTTCCCAGCTCCTCTGTGGTCCTCTGCTTCCTGACCTCCATGAGGCGAGCAGCTTTTCCTCCGTGAAGCCCCTCGCCAGTGCTGTTCTGTTTTGGAGCTGAGCCGAGGTAAACCTCTCCTCCTTTAAGTTCCAGCTGTAGGCACTGTATCAGCCATGAGCAGAGTGGCAGACCACATCATTCCTGGGGACCCTGTTGTCATCTGTGACTTTTCTTTTGTAGTACAAAGTAGGACTGGATATGTTTAATAGAAATATGTTAAAATACAGAAGTGTGTACCATCTTAGACATCATATGTTTTTACATTTATATACATTCCTATTCGATTTATTTAATACTTCTGTATTACATTGATGAGAATATAATTATAATTTCTAATTAACAATTATAAAATTCATGGTATTTAAAAGTAGAAAATGGCACGATTTTCCTGTGACTATTTAATAGCTACAATAGCTTGTGTGTGTCAAACTCGGTGCTTTTGTGTGCTTTAAAACTTCCTTTTGGCTTTGCTTTTCAGAAGTGCTGCAGAAGGGCGATCATTACCCTTATTTTACAGAGGGAAACATTTGAGGCTCAGAGAAGTTGATTTGCCCAAGGCTTCAGAGTTACTATGTAACCTAGAATATTATTTTAGCAATTCTTTAAAAAATTTCCATTTATTTTCTTAACAACCGCACCCTGGAGCGCTTGACCATGATGGCACTATTCCGGGGCCTGGACAGAGGTGGTCTTCACCCCCTGGAAGTCACTGCCTGTGGGAGTGCGGGTACGGCAGCCAGAGTGGCGCTGCACCACCGCGAGCATAAGGGTTATAGTGCAAGGCACAGAGAGGGGCGGCGTCCCTGATGCATGACAGAGGGGAAGCCTCCTCTCCTTCCTTCCTCCACTAGCACGTTCCAAGTCCATGCACGTTTTGCTTTCACTGAACATGTCGGTAGAGGGGAAATCATGGGGGCACAGCCGGGGACATTCACGGGTTAGCCGTTACTCCTGACTGATAGAGTAAGTTAAACCGTCTCTCTCAGCCTGATGAGGTGCACAGGGGAAGTATGACTCCGTGTTCAGACTGACCTGAGCCACAGCTCTCCAAACAGATTAGTTGTGTTAGTAACACCTGGTTCTGCCTTTGTGCGATTCAGCTGTATCAAGAACGCTTTAAAACAATCAGTATTTTTTATTAAATTACAGTATTCATCGGACTTATTCAATCCTCTGATTGTTTTAGAAATTATGAATAGTATGACCTTTAACATTTTTTAAAAATTCTGTTTTTTTTTTCTTTACAGAATTTATCATGTTGATGATACGCCTTCTGGATCAGTGGATGGGGTGCCTGATTATACTAAAGCCATTCAAGTAAGTGATTTTATTTTCGTCAGCAAATGTTAATGTCTGTAAATTTGAAAGTATTATAATTTTATTTTGAGACCTACAAACTTATTTCTTAAGAATAGGATACTATTTTAGCAATTCTTTAAATTTTTTCTATTCTGAAAAAACCTTTTTTTGTAGCAGGGATCAAGTGCAGAACCTTGTGCTTACCAGGCAGGCCCAGTGCTGATGAGCTACATCCTTGGCTCAAAAAACCCATTTTGAAACCTTAGAAAGTCTCAGTCTAAATAAAGGTGATACGTAATCAGTTTTCTGAAAACATTGGGGAACCTAATTCCTCCACCCTTAGCATCTCTATGCCCATCTCTCTCTGTTGGTCACTCAGTAGTTCTGCTGGCCATGGTTTGGTGTGTCACTGCTGGCGTATTAGTGGGCATTCTTATTTTCATAGATAACATAGTTCACTGTACCTTCCTCGAAATATGCTTTTGTTTAGAAGCAAGTGTAATTACTAGTACTTTAGTAAGCAGTGTTTTGATAGGGTTTTTCTGATTGTATTTAAAATAGTACGTGTTGCTGAAAAAGCTCTTTCACATCCAATTTCTCATCCGATTCTTGCAGTCCCCGTAACGTGTCTCCTTTCCACTTGGGGAGGTCACCAGTCACCCTCAGATCCGAGAGCAGTGGAGTAGTGAAGGGGGGCTTCATGTTTACATCTTTTCATGGCAGATATGGTGTCCTCTGTGGGAGTCCCTCTGGTCACCTCCTGCCTGTCCATTTGCTCAGTAGCCTTCACACGTGTTTTTGATGTGTCAGACAGTGGAGTAAGTGCTGCGAATCTGCTGGTGGCTAAGAAACCATTCTTCCCTTTCGGAAGCTTTGGGGAAATTTCAACCTGGTTCACTTCCTCCATCCTCATATAAAACCTGTCCCATCTTAAAAATGACAGCAGAAGTCTCCATGGTCAGCTGTGTGCCCTCTTCTGTGTACTGCCTCGTTTCTTTACCCTTTCAGAGCTGAGCCTCCTGAAAGAACATCCTGGATCCATGTTTCCCTCCCCATTCATTCCATTTTTACTCCACTGCATTCTGGTTTCCAATTCCCTTGACTTGGCAAGTCTGATAGGAACTTTTCATATTTCTTTATTATTTGTTCTCTGCGTGACATTAGTATTTTTGTAACCATACTTTTCTGCCTGGCTTTTATGAAACTGTGTTCTTGGCTTTATCCCTCGTTGGCCACTAGCCACATGTGGCCAGTGAACGTTTGAAATGTGGCTTTTGGCTGAAGAGCGGAATGTTCAATGTTATTTTACTTTAATTACTTTGCACTTACTCAGTGATGTGTGGGGAGCGGCTGTGGGGTTGGCCTCTGTGCTTCGTCTTCCCCATCCCTACAGTGCCAACCCGGGTCTGCACACTGCCAGAACTAACCTCCGACTAGTCCCCACTGTCTTCCAGGGTGCAGAGGTCCCAGCCTCTCCTCTCCCTGCCCACTGTCTCCCCTGCACATTCCTCAGATACCCATGTGCTAAATCAAATAAGTTTCCTGAATACTCTGGCTTTTTTCTGATTTAAAAATATTTATTTTGAAATGATTATAGATTCATAGGAAGTTATAGAAATAGTCCCTTCACTCAGCTTCCCTCAGTGGCGGCATCTTGTATAATCGTAATAGGACACGAAACCCGGAAATTTACGTTGATATAATTCTGTTCGACTACAGCTTGTTCCTTGTTCGGTGTCCACTGCTGTTGTGTTCCCTGTGTGTGTACAGTTAGTTCCACACCGTTTTATCACCACAGAGGAACTTCCTCCGTTCCACTTCCTTTCTCACCTGCCTCCTGCACCAACCCCGTGCCCTGGCAGCCACACGTGTTCTCCATCTGCTTAGTTTTGTCACTTCGAGGGTTCTAGGCATGGAATCGTACAATAGGAAACCAAGCACAGTGCCCCAGGGAACCCTCAGTGGTCTCAGGCCTCGAATGGGGAAATATTCCTCTGAGCAGCTATGATCCTTAGTCCTGTGCCTGGCACGGTCAGCGCTCATTAATTAAGTTTCTGTTGAGAAATATCTTCTCGCCCCCCCGCCCCATTGAACCCATGGCCTCCCTCATGCTGAGCTGTGTCTGCTGCTGGGCACACCCCCACCCCAGCCCAGACATTTTTTTTTTTTTTTTTTGGTTAAGT